TGTAACATGGCATCGCTCAATACAATGTCCACGCTTCTTCCCTCACGACGGCTGTGTTGAAACAGTGCTTAACGCTGGCCGTTACAGATCATTTGCTCTCATGTGGCGGCTCGGCAGGACAACTGGCTCCTGCCGGCTCATACGGCTAGTGACAAGTACATTGAAACAAATGTAGTCATTCGGTCCACAATGCACTCACGCACGATCACCACGTGGTTAGCACAGGCCGTGTCATCTGATGGTTGGCGGCAAAAGACAAATCCAACACGTATTGCTGCCATCTGCCATCTGCGAACGATTTGATATGAAAGATAGGTTCTTGGTCGACACGGCAAAGGCTGATGACCTGATCATGTTTGGCCCGGTCTCAACCAACGGCAAAACAGTGAGAAGCTTCCGGGTCCTTATCATATTGTCCAAGGTATAGAATGCCCAGAGGTACAGAATGTTCAAAGTACAGAATGATCAAGGTACAGAATGCCCAAAGTTCATCATGTCCAAAGCGCACACTGTCCAAAATGAGAAGTAACTTCCAACATGGTGCAGAGTGGACGGGGTCCGTATCATAATGCCCGACGTCCAAAATGTCCAAAGTACAGAATGTACAAAGAACATATTGTCCAAGGTATAAAATGCCCAAAGACCAACGCTTCCAAACTAGTTTCTAGTGCGGCCGCCAGGGTATGAATAATCGCCCTTATTGGCCGGCAGCGTTGCCGCGCCCAGCGCCGTCCGCGCGCATACAGTCGGCACCATTACGAAGACCACGCGCGTGAGGCTGGCCAGCCGGATTGCTAGCTTAGCAACAAATCCATGTCCGCTCCACGACACAATGAAGCCGGCTGGAGGTGCCGCGCCGAGCATTAGTCGCTGAGTGTCAAAGTTGAACCTGGTAGGGTTTGCCTGCATTTTCCAAAATAGGAAATAAATTCGAGGTAATAATCGTTTCCAGCATCATACACCAGCATTGTGGTGACTGGGATGGGTTTTCAGCAATAGCAAGCTAACATAAAAAATGTTTCGTGATCGGTAGTGATTGTCGTTGAAGGAGGGTGAATATTCTTCAATATGGCATTAAAGAAACACAACACATCCAGCACGTGCGGAAAGCTGATTGAAACACGGACGGTTAAATTTGGAGTGATAGATGGCCAGCACCAGCAATTAGGTCAAGTCGTTCAAGGCAATGACTGAAGCATCACTTTTAGATGTACTTCACATAAAAAACGCTGCTCATGTGACGTCCCAAGATGATGCATGCTCACTTGCCTGGAACAAAGTTGACAATTGCGCGCAATAACTTAAATATAGGAATATTTGTCTCCTGCCGTAAAGATGTCTTCATTACAGCTAATGTTTCTTGCGCAAAGCTGTATCTATTAAACTACGCACGCGGTGCAAATACTTAATTCGACATTACGTATACTTAACGTGTTTACCTGCCATGTTTTCCTCGTAACGATGTGCACACCTTCTGTATACGTGCGCACCTGAGGTGTCCAATGAACAGGTCTGAAATCTTACGTTTCCCGTACATTTCCCACCTGAACTCTCCCTGTACTTAAGTTCCTTGAGGTTTGGTATTTAACCCCACTTTTTCCATTTCATTCTCAATCCTTTGGCGCATACATGGCGAACTTTTACGCCCAATGGAACTCTAGGGTTTGCTGGAGCGGTCAGCTAGAATAAAAATGAGACGAGCACTGCTAGTCATGCCACCCTAAAGTGAATATTGTTTGTGTGCTGTCCCGTATTTACTCTTACACGTATACATATATATATATATATATATATATATATATATATATATAACATGTATATATGTATATACATGTACATATATGCATATAATAAGGAATGTAAGTATTGGAGCCCATGTTACACTGCGCAGCTCCAGGTTAAAAGCTAGTGCTACTGTGGCTAAAAGGCTAGGAATGTAATGTACACATACTTTTTATCTTAAGATTTAATGACACTTTTTTGGAGGGGCCCTTATATCTAGGGGCACAAGAATGCTGCGTGCTCCCCCCTTCACGAAATACTGGATTCGCCCCTGTTTGTAATCATTCCGCTGTGTAGTGGTAGCGCGGCGTATCCCTGTTCTTACATTATGTCAACTATAAAGACGTGCCCCACATATGCAGAATGCGGCCAGTGCGACCGGCTCTGCGGCCGGTGACGCGACTCGGTCGGCCGGCGCGCCCGACCGCAGTTCTGAGACAGCGCTCGCCTTGCAGCGGTACGGCTTGCTGGCCACAGACCAGCTGGTGCACGTACGTGACGTCGCTCGCTCACCCGCCGCTACCCCCTTCCCCGTTAATGGACCCGTCGACAGTTGGACTGGACACCCCGTGGGGCGTTTGGGGCCGCCGCCGATGGCTGTAACCGTCGTAAGGTAGCCGCAACCCTGCACAAGCGCCGGACTGAGGCTCGGGTGTGAGTGGGCCCAGCCCATAGACGTAGCAAGACCCAGAATGAGCAGTTCATAGTCCGGGGCCAGCCGTCAGTGGCCGCAGGCTCTGGCGATGGCCGGCCTGGAGCAGACGGCTGGCTCGGACGTCACTCCGGTCGATGGCAGCACCGTTCCAGCGGACCACACAGCAGTGGGTGTAGCGGATAGAGTCCAGCACGCGCCTGGCAGCCGATGGCGCAGTTCCCAGGCGAAAGCTGAGGTGGCCTCCGCATTCCCGGCCTTGCAGCGCCTGTCGACGGATCAGAGGCGATGCGTCACGTCGCACCTCCGGGTGATCCACGTGCTGTGGTCCAACTGTGGCGGGCCTGTCACGCTGACCTGGGAGCCGACTGTATCTGTTGAGGCGTGACCCTGGCCGCCCCGTGCGTTTGTGAGCTCGAGTGATCAGTCGGTTTAGTGGTCAGTTGGTTAAGTGATCGGTTGGTTTAGTGATCAGTCGGTTTAGTGATCAGTCGGTCTAGTGATCGGTCGGTTTAGTGATTGGTCGGTGTAGTGATCAGTTTGTTTAGTGATCGGTCCGTTTAGTGATCGGTCGGTGTAGTGATCGGTCGGTTAAGTGACCGGTCGGCTTAGTGATCAGCCGGTTTAGTGATCGGTCGGTTCAGCGCGATCGGTCGGTTCAGTTGGCACGCTGTTCGGCACGTCGGCCTGCATCAGTGCACGTGGTGGGCATATCTGTGAAGCGAACGATGTTGTGTTCTCTGTCCGATTTGTCTGTTGGACGATTGTCTCAATCTGCCAGATGTACCCTTCTTAGGATGTCGTACGCGCATTCGACGCCGTGCTGCCACGGAAGTCGTCGGCAGATTCGTTCTCCGATTAAGACAAAAATTACGCATCTTTGCGTCCGCGCATTCCTGCTTGGACCTTCGTTCCAGTTGTCACTTGACACCACATTTTTAAGATGTAGTCCGAATATTTGAATGGGTGGATTTCTGGGATCGGAGTTCACGCTCTGCTGTGCTTGCTGTGTGAGCCTCTACCATCCGCTGGTGAAACTCCAGGTCAACGACTGAATGTGATGACTAAAGTTTAACGTGCGGCAACGCTCGGCGCAGTCCGCCTTCCCTCGTACGTCACCTGACCTATGACGCGGCCGCTGTCCCCGGCCGCAGGTCATCCCAGGTAGTGACATAGCGAGCGCCTGAAGCGACTCGAGCCCACCTCGCCACGCACGGATGCACGGGAAGACAGGCGCTCTAACCAACTGAGCTATGGGGACGGACGTACCCGGCCGTGTGTGGCTGGCTGATCTGCCGCCGCGGCGCGGTCTGGTCTGGCGGTCTGGTGCCGGTCTGTGTCAGCTGACGTAGCTGCTGTCGCCGTGCCCACAGCCAGATCAGGGGGGTGTCATCCGTATCGGTTAACACTATCAAAAAGTGGCAACATCGAACTTGCGTGAGAATACAGGTAGTTTGGCAGCAAAGCCTGCATGACGTCAAGTATACCATATTTGATGACGTCAGTGGCACGGAAGCCTCCCAATTAGCCAGCTGACTGCTACACAACCCACTAGTTTGAATGGTGAGTATGTTTTGGGGGCGTGCGGCTGGCGCTTCCCGGTTGGACTCTGAATGAGTGGTCCACGGTTTTTTCAAGCTAACACAATTCTGGAAGGGAGATTGAATCTCGGAATAGTTCGACCTCATCACAATTTGATATTCTTCCGTGGGTTGTACATAACTAGGGGTAAAACGTCATGCGGCGTTTGTAGCGCATCGCGTGTCGCAGTTGATTGGCGCCTTATACCAGTGGGTTGTGGCCAGTTGCCATGACTACGCCTTGTACGAGAGATCTCGTGAGCAGTCTGTCTTGAACAATTGGTAGCATTTAAAATGATCAGTCTGTGAACATTTTATTATGCATATGTGTACAAACCCTGATATAAAGAAACACTTGACAGCAGCATCATAAAGCCAATATCATAGGCTTTTACTGTACTTACCTTACTGCACTCACATCACTGATAAGAAGAGCGAGAGCTATTACAAATCAAGATTGCAAATGTTCATATAACCATACCTATAGGCAAAGTAAATTATGCAAGCTGAGCTGTTCAACTCTGCCACCAGGCACAAACGGCACAGACAAGCCTATGGCTATCTAACGACATGCCTGGTCATGGAATGCAATACGCCACAAACGCCGCATGGCATATAATTACGTGTTATATCATCATACATGCAAAAATCGTAAATTCTGATGAGGCTTAACTGTTCCATGACTCACTGCTCATTCCAGAAATGTGTGCGAATAGCGAAATGACGGATAATTTCTTCTCAGTCCAACGGGGAACCGCCAGCCACACGCCACCAAGACATGCCCACTATTCAAACTAATGGGTTGTGTAACAGTCAGCTGGCTAACTGACAGGGCTCCGTGCCACTGACGTCATCAAATATGGTATACTTGACGTCATGCAGGCTTTGCTTCCAAACTACCTCTTTTCTCAAGCAAGCTCTATTTTGCCACTTTTTCGGACCGGACGGTTCTAGCTCGTTAGAAAACCTTGCCACAGCCTCTGGTCATGTTCGACACCGCCGGCGCGGTACACGTCTGGCCCGACAGTGCTGCCGCTCTCGTCAAGTCACTGCACCAGAAGTTGTTCTTCTACACGGCAGATATCGCCACCGGCATCATGCAGGGCTACGTCGTCACGGAGGTGGGATTTCGAGCGTGCTGACGTTACGGCCCAAATCGCAAGCGAATCCACGTGGGGACCCGTTAAGTCGACTGCAGTGAATGGTCGCTCGTGGGCTCTGTGTGGGTTTTGTGACTTTTTACATGTTAGTGTTTGACACGGCCATCTACCCCGAGTTGAGTATTGATAATAGCACATTTGTTACGCACTATGCATTATTTGGTGACATGTCGCCGAACAACAATTTGTAACACTAAACTGTTCGGCTCCTGTGACCGTTGGGACTATGCGCATGCATGCAGGCTGTTACGTATCTGTTGGCGCTGCATCCAACAGTCAGATCAAAAGGCAGCCGGCCGGCCTGACGCGCGCCCCTGGCGGCAGGACCTGCGGACGGTGCCCACGTGGCGGCTGGACCTGTCGTCGCAGGGTCAGACGATCCGGCGCGTGCTGGCCAAGTCGCCTTACGAGCGCGTGCACAGCCAGGGTCGCGTGCTGGCCGACAGGAGCGTGCTGTATAAGTACGCCAACCCCAACCTGCTGATGGTGATCACCGACGCCGACGACCCCGTCCACAAACGTCAGTACCGCAGGCTGTGTTCACATACATCAGTACCACAGTCTGTGTCCACAGACGTCATTGCCGCGGTCTGTGTCCACAGACGTCAGTACCGCAGCCAATGTCCACAGATGTCAGTACCGCAGCCTGTGTCCACAGACCAGAGCATGGTCCACAGACGTCAGTACCACACCTGTGTCTACAGACGTCAGTACCACACCTGTTTCCGTCAGGTGCCACAAACGTTTATGCCTCCACTCCGGCTGCTGCCTGTGTCCACAGACGTCTACACAGCATGTGTCCACAAACGCCAGTACCACAGCCAGTGTCCATAGACATCAGTACCGCAGCCTGTGTCCACAGACGTCAATACCGCAGCCAGTGTCCACAGACGTCAGTACCGCAGCCTGTGTCCACAGACGTCAGTACCGCAGCCTGTGTCCACAGACGTCAGTACCACGGCTGGTGCCCACAGCGCCAGTACCACAGTCTGTGTCCACAGACGTCAGTACCGCAGCCTGTGTCCGCATACGTCAGCACCCGCAGCCTGTGTCCACAAACGTCAGTGCCCCGAGCTCTGGCTGCTTCGTCAAAAGGTCAACACGCTAGATATCATAACACGCGTATTGAAATGACGTCTGCCCGACCCACGTTAGTCTAGCGACTTGTGCGTGCCTTGGACGAATAGTCCGGACGGCCCATCGCTGGGACGGAGAGCCAGTGTAAGGACGGCAGGCCGCGGTGTTGTACCAAGCGACACGGCTGGCTCCAACGCCGGGTGACCCCGCACCCTGCAGTGGCGCCACCTCTGTCACGTGCGCGCCGTCCGCCGCCGCCAGACTCGACCAGCCTGTACCTGGTGGACGCCGTCAGCGGCCACCTGGTGTACAGCCACGTGCAGCGGCGCGTGCGCTGTCCGTGCCACGCGGTCCACTCGAAGAACTGGCTGGTGTACTCGGTATACAACGAGCGCGCCCGGCGCACCGAGCTCACCAGCCTGGAGCTGTTCGAGGGCACCGTGCAGGCGAACGCCTCAGGTTAGCGGCAGGGGGCGGGTGGAGCAGGGGAGGCCACGCTGGGGGTCAGTGAGGGCTGTGCGCGGGTCGTGTTAGCTCACCGCGTGTTTGCAAGGCGAGGGGTTTGTGGTGAAGGCTGGGAGCACTGCGGCACTGGAGGCTGTGTAGCGCCCGGGGGTGGGCGTTGACGCTGGGTGTGGCCTGATGTTGGTCGTTCGCCCGGATGGTGGGACTGGGAGGCTTCCACTGCACCCAAGCCCATCGAGCCCGCCTTTTCTCCGCCTTATCCCCGTGTGGTAACGAGTTCAAGCCATCGCGACACAAACTCGCGGAGAGGACTGCGACGCGGCTGTGTTGCCCAACACTCGCACCCACGAGGCTGCGGTCAGGGGTCGAATCGCAGGCACGCCGAACTACGAAGGCGTGGGGCGCGGCCTGGCCGTCTGCCCGATCACACCCGCGCGATCTCCGCGGGAGTGTAACGCCGCTGGGTCCGCGCGATCGCCGCCGGGGGTGTGACGCCGCTGGACCGTTCGCCGCGCCTGCCGCAGCGTTCTCGTCGCTGGAGGCGCCGCCGCAGCCCATGGTGGAGAAGCAGAGCTTCATCTTCCCCACGCAGATCGAGGCGATGCGCGAGACCATCACCGAGAAGGGCATCACCACCAAGTTCGTCTTGTGTGAGTTGGCTGCTGCTGCGGACTTCTGCCCGCCTCGGGGCTATCGCCCTTGTTCTTAATCAGATGAGTGGGAGGAGATTCGCCGCATTGAAAGTGGTGTATTCACTATGGAACCCGTCCTTTCCCATGTGCAATTTTTGTGAGAAGCATAGGCGCTTTTTCTACCTTGTCCTCGTGTTTCTCATCGTTGCGTTTTGTCTGCTTGCAAATAACTATCGTTGCATATCGGATAGCATTGTCCTGTGCTGACGTTTCCAGTGGCAGCTGGAAAAGGTCACCTGTTTAAATCTGATGCCAGATGCCGTACTCCATTCCCGACCTTACGTCACCTGATATCTTCACTTAAGCATGTGTGATCTGTATATATTCTTGCGTGGTGTTTTTGTTTGCGTTAACTGGGTCATCTCGTAACGTAATAATCGTGACGTCATGCCCTCTGTTCCTTTCAATCGCGATAGCCTGCTGTGGTCCTGTGTGATCCAAGGACCGAATTACAGTCCTAACTCCGGTCGGTGACTGTCGTGCTCTCGCCGCTCACGACTCCACTTGCACTACACCAATAACACCCTCCCCACGAACATCTCTGGTCAGTTTGGCTCCCTCTGAGGATGGTTCTGTCGCTGTGGTTTCGCCGCGTATTACCGTGCACGGCCCGTTGTCTTTCCGTCTCCGCCGGTCCGCGTCTGCCTGTGCGGCCCTCTGGACCGAGTCTGGTCAGGGGGGCGGCATCGCTAGTGACGAGCCGCTCTCTGACGGCCACCGGTCGGCGCGGCGCCCTTCCACAGGCCTTCCGCACCTCGCCGCCCCAGGTCTTGTCTTTACTGGGACGGCGGCCCTCGCATCGAGCCGTGCTCCCGGACTTCCCTCCCCACTCCCGGGGTTTCCCCTGGCTTCGGCGCCCGCACCACGCCCCACCGCCTGGCTTCCCCCTGTCCCCGGGGACGGTCTCCTGGCTTCGGCCCCCTTACCACGCCTCGCTCCCTGGCTTCCCCCCTCTCCCGGCGGCGGTCTGTCCTGGCTTCGGCCCCCTTACCACGCCTCACTCCCTGGCTTCCCCCCTCTCCCGGGGGCGGTCTGTCCTGGCTTCGGCCCCGCGCCACGCCCCGCTTCCACTTCCCTCCCTCTTCCGGGAGACGGTCTCCTGGCTTCGGCCCCCTTACCACACCCTGCTCCCTGGCTTTCCCCCTCCGGAGGGACGGCCTCTCCGCCGGTCCGCCCCGTCGCGGGCCCCCCCCCCCCCCGTGACGCTCCTCCGCCGGTCCGGCAGTCGTGCTGCCCTCCGGCGGTGTGGTGGCGCTGAACCGGGCGCTGCTCGACCCGCGCCGGCCGCTGGCACCCGGTCGGTCGGCCATGGATGAGGGCCTGCCGCCGTACACGCCCGAGCTGCCGCTGCCCACCGTAGCCGTGGTCAACTATAACCAGACGCTGCTGGGCGTGCGCGGCGTTGTCACATCACCCTCGGGCCTCGAGTCCACCTGCCTCGTGTTCGTGTACGGACTCGGTGAGTGGCAGGAGGCGGCAGCGGCGCAGCGCCGTGCTCAGTCGTAGCTGTCGCTTCGGCTTACGTTGGATTGAGTCGCGGCGTTTGCAAACAGTGTTTTTCAAATTGGTTTTGTGTGGGGGTGTGGGTGTGCGTGCGTGCGTGTGATGTGGGCTGGTTCTGGTGTGCAGGCTGATGGTATTATTCAAGCTAAGTCGAGAGGTGAACATACCAAAAGGCTCATGTTTGCAACGAAACGCTAACATTTCATTTACAAACCCATGGCAAGCGGCCCGCGGGACGTGGGCGGCGATGGGCATGCGTGCCGTGCTCGCGCTCTCGTGACGTCACTGCCGGCCTCCACTGGCGGCCGCGCGCCGGTCCCGTCACCGAGCTGACGCTGCCCCCCTCCACCCGTCCCGCGCTCCGGCAGACCTGTACCACACGCGGGTATTCCCTTCAAACATGTTCGACCAGCTGAAGGACGACTTCGACTCGACGTTCATCGTGCTGGTGCTGGCCGGCCTGGTGGCCGCCTCGGCGATATCCCGGCGCCTGTCGCAGCGCCGCGCCCTCCAGCAGGCCTGGAAGTAGTCACCCGGACCGCCCGCGGGCGCCCTCCAGCAGGCCTGGAAGGAGTCACCCGGACCGCCCGCGGGCGCCCTCCAGCAGGCCTGGAAGTAGTCATCCGGACCGCCCGCGGGCGCCCTCCAGCAGGCCTGGAAGTAGTCACCCGGACCGCCCGCGGGCGCCCTCCAGCAGTCCTGGAAGGAGTCACCCGGACCGCCCGCGGGCGCCCTCCAGCAGGCCTGGAAGTGGTCACCCGGACCGCCCGCGGGCGCCCTCCAGCAGGCCTGGAAGTAGCCACCCAGGACGCCCTCCAGTCGGCCTGGAGGGAGTCGCCCTGCCGCCGGCTCGACCGGCGGCGGCGTGCTCTGCAGCAGACCTGGCTTAGTCACCGACTGCGTCACTGTGTCGAGGTCAGACGGCGGGGCAGCGTGCTGCCTGCCGGCGGGTCTGACGGTGAGTCGCCGCTCCGGGGCCGCGTCGGCGGTACCCCTCCGCTCCGACGCGTCCGGCTGTGGAGACCGGCTTTGGGACGAGTGTCACTCGGCGGCAGTGGACCCGGAGCGGGCGCCGACCGCGGGGCAGCGGCAGCGGCTGAGGAGCTCATCACGGCCAGATCAGAGCGCCGGGAGTCTGTGCTGAGCTGGGCTGGTGCTGAGCTGAGCTGATGCTGAGCTATGCCGGGTCTGAGTTGGGCCGGTGCTGCAGGCTCACAGCTCGCGCCAGGCCGGCGCGTTGGCGGAGTGCGGTGTCGTTGCGGGCGGAGTGGACGACCCGGCTGCTGGCCATACGACGCGTGGTGCCGGGGCCGGTCGAAATCCGGCCAACGGAATCGTGCCGGTTAGGGGTGAATGGTCTGGGATGGGGTAGTGAATGGGGCTCGTGTTGACCGACACTCATTGCTAGTTCATAGCGCGATTACGGTTGATTTTGCTCAAGTCATCCGGCGACGGCTTGGGCGTGAATGTGCGTATGTGTGTGTTCCTAAGTTGCGAGGGTTGCGTCGTGATTTTCATGTTTGCCAGCAGGTATATCCTGGCGTTGAGTTCGACATCGGTGCAATTTTAGGGTGGCGTGGGTGCGTTTTCCGGGGCAAGTATGGTCTTTAAATGGTGTGTGTCGCGCCTCTTACGTGGTGTGCGTTTCGTGTCCCGTTCATCCTCAGTTATTGTGATTCGCAGTGCGTGGCGCCGTGCATATACGTCACGTGTAAAATATAATCTGGAGATGTTGTAGTGCTGTTGTGCAAAGTGCTTCTCCTCGCGTGCTGTTCGGTAGGATTTCGTGGGGGTAATTTGAAATTTTTGACATTTTGAGAAGTGCCGTAAATATTCTCTGACTTGCCGTGGCGTGAGCTAGCCCGAGCTCGCTGTTACGAGTTTCGGGTAAGTCGTCTCAGGAGAAAATATAGAATCTGCCAATGGACATCAGTTGGGCGCCGCTGTCGCACAGGCATGTGCCGTGTGTAAAAGCAAGTACGTGTATCAGCTTATGCGTAGACTTCTCTGCTGTTGGAATTCGCACGCAAAATAGGCCGCATTGTACAGCGGACCCCAGATTGGCAAACTCGGTTGTCGAATTTCATTGGCATTTACTCAGCGACGATGTAAGCTTGTTGCGAGTTTATATCACGATTAAAATAGCTTGAAAAGGTCGTTTCAATTTGAGCAGTAGTTTGGTTACATTTCAATATTTATTCTCGGTTTGATGTTATATATATTGATTCCACCACATAAAACCGCAACTTCTCATGGCCTTCTCCCCGCTGTTGCGCAAAAGTAGAAAAGCCTGCAACCGTATTCGGCCAAAGGGGAGGAGCCAGACTGAACGTGCCTCCCGCAAGGGCTCTGACTTCAATTAGAGCAGGAACCAGCAACTCCTCGGCCCCAGCTTCCAGGTATACCGTGCCTGGCTTTGCCCCACATGAGCGGCGACGAAGCTCTGGGTGCTGAGGTGGCCGCCTAGCGGGTCAGTATTGGCAATCGGCAGCACTCTTGTTTGGCCTGGACTGGGCGACCTGTGCGACTCCGCGTCGACTCCGCGCGCGGATAGTCGCTTTGCCAGGCGACGTCTTCGTGCTCTGTGACAACGAAAGGAAACCTGGGAATTTGTGGTTAGTGTTCACTTTGACACTTCGAAAGGGTCCTGTGCCAGTCGGGGCCCCCCTAGTTCCGCAGGAGGGGGGGGGGGGGGGGGCTCCATCCCGATTTCAGCCCGGGCGCATTGAGTCGAACGGGAGTCTATGTGGCAATTACTGGCCCACCTGCGGCGATCAGAGATATTGTTGCACCATTGAGGGTTCGCGCGTCAATCCGAAGAGAGCTGCGGGGATCAGAAGGCCTCCCGGGTCAGGGAGGTATATAACGTGATATGTTGAGTCCCCCTCCAAGGCCCTTCGGATCGACCAGGGGATCCCACCCCATGTCGCCAGAATGGCAGTTGCAAGCCACCCCACGGTGCGACGGAATGACTCTTCAGTGACTCCCCGCGGTGGGACGGAATGCCTCTTCAGCCCCGACCGGGAACAGAAATGTGCCCCTAGTGTTTTTCTCAAGGGAGACCCTTGCCGGAAAGAAATTAGGGGTCTCATTATTGAAAGGCAGGTAGTGTTAGATAGTGTTCTGGTAGAGTGGGTTGGATCGAGTCCAGAAACGGACCATGTTGAACCATGAAACATGGCCATCCCATGTTTGCCGGAGGACGTCCATTTTTTACAGAACTGATTTGTGAAACTATTCACATAAGAAGGTCTGAGCATGCGCGCCAGCAATCTCGGGAGCAAGGACAGCGATGGCCTGGGACAGCGATGGCCAAATGATGTTCAAGATGGTCATTTCAGTTCCAAATCTCATGCAAATGTGGAACACACCATTTGAAGGGACCACTGCCCTATCTTTAGTTGCAATGTTCAAAAACTGCGGTACGCTATCCTGGCTCCTCTAATGTCCCTCATTATGACTGCAACCTTTCTTATATGCTGAAATACTAGCTGCAGTTTTCGCCTTCCGATACATGGCTTCCGGTGTGGATCTTATGCGGGCGACGGTGCGATGGTCGTATTTTGCATCAGGGCAGTGTCCAAGAATAAGTCTAAAAGAGTGACAATATTTCGGTTATTTGAGAATTGTTCGAGTTCATAACCTGACGGTTCAGATCGGGATGTTCTGCTCGTGAGAAAAACTAAATGGCGCATTTCCACCAAAGTAGTGATCCGAGCAATAATTCGCTTGCTTGATGACGAACACTGCGGGCTACAGCTCTTCCCGCACGAAAGAAATTCGTTGGCTCGGACTAATCCATGTGTAGCACTGGGTTGGATTGGTAAGCTCCAAATAACATGGATTAGGATTAGATTGCATTTGTAGTATGACCATAAACATACATTACTACACATTGGAAAATGTAATACCAGTCTGAGAAACGGTAAGTAATATTGTTTCACAGGTCTGAATTTTTGGGTTAGATTACGCAATGCACGATTAGTGATGAGCGCTGCGCACTCACTTATAGCTAACGTCGTAGCATATTTTATGCAAACCAGACGTCACCACATCTGATTTTAAAAGCGTGAAGAAAACGGATTGATAGTTCACTGTGTTCATAATCGGCAATGCAGAGACCCAGTTCAATGCAATTTAGCTATGAACTCATTTTATGTCTAATGCGACAACCAAGCTTCGTAAGCCCCCTAGCTTCAGTAGGCACTTTTCCATCGGCTCCCATCAATCAGATATCAGCGCCTGGGGCGTGATCTCCCTGGGGCGGGCTCAAAGCTGCCCCACCTGCCGCCACGGGTTCGCGGGAGCCGCCTGCCGTTTGGTTCTACCGCCGAAAGGGATGGTACATCTCGCCCCGGGGCAGGGCATGACTCTGCGCCCAACCTTTCCAACGGACAACCTGTCTGGCTCTCTCCCGAAGGCGGGACACCCGCCGAAGGCACGCATGTTATGTTGCGCATTCCGTCACCAAGGAGGTGGCCAGGTCTCTCCCGCACGGGAGTCAAAAGTTGAAACGTTTGCCGTAAATATGCAAGTACTTGCGCATGCGTGACTAGCTGTAATTCAACGGGAGAAAGTTTCGCCGTCAGGCACATAACCTAAAACAATCCTCATATGATCACTGCATTGCAATCACTGGTTTGTGTAGTCGCTGAGCACGAGACCCGATTTACTTGTTAACAGTCATACGTTGACAGCATTTGGAGATTCAATGCATCTCAGTGAAGCACCTCAAAAAGAGAGGGTGTATTCGTAAGATCGATGATTTAAAAACGAAGATATCGCGTGACAAATATGCTGACATTCACAACAGCTTTTGCCCATCTACATATACCTACATTTATATATATATACACATTTTTATATATGCTATATATATATACTATATATACAATGAACTATATATATATAGATAGATGGAAATATATATATATATATATATATATATATATATATATATATATATAGATACATATATATATATATACATATATATAAGTATATATATATATATATATAATATATATATATATATATATATATATATATATATATATATCTGCATGCAATATGTTCCTTGAAACTTTTATTACGCATTCCTCTTCAATAATTACGCATCTCTTGATTTCGCTGATCTTGCAGGATTACCTACGCATCTAACCTTTTGATGTCATGCCTCCTGTGCTTAAAGAGCGTACAGATAAAAGGTTGTCAATACCAGACATCAGTGGGTAGAGGAATATTTGAGCAAGACCTTGCTGGCTGCTTTGAACAGGAAAATGTCTGTCAAGAAATCGACAAACACATTTCTGCACCCCGTGTGGCCCTCTTGTCGTGCGCTGCACGTGACGACAAACCAGTTGGGACGATGAAGAGTGCAGAGAGGGGAACTCTTGTGACCACAGGGATATGCCCCAGCACCGACGGCAGCCACGTCCCACCTGCGCTGGTATTTCCAAGAGCAAAGCTGGTCGGCCGGTTGATCAAAGGAGCACCCCCGCTACGCCATCCAGCAATGTGTTACCAAACGGGTGGATAAACACAGATTGCATTCGCCAGTGGCCTCGGACATTTCATGCGATATACGGGTTTGCGCCAAAGACTAGAAAGGTTTGTTTGGAGATAGATGATCGCTCCGCTGGAGGTTTAGAACCGAGCCCAAGATAGCGGTATGAACAGTTCGCTACACCCGTGCGGCTTCACTGACTATACATGACACAAACTTAGGCCGCCTCTGTGACGGCTGGTGTCTTGTTGTCGGTGGAACAAAACCCCTGAGCTGTTTGGAGGCGCTGAGTGGCGTTCCGACCCCGGCCGTAAGTAGGTCCTACTCTATGAACCCCATAGGAAAAACTATCCTCATATAGTCATACTCCGGTCATACTCTATATAGAGTCATATTCTATGAGGGGTTGCCGATTTCGAAGGCATGCAAGAAACGTGCATATGGCCTCTCAAAAATCGTGCGGCTTATTGAAAGGCAACAGTTGCCTTATCCACAACAGCTAAGGGAAAACACTGTGCTTTGTTA